TATCAAGAAAATAGTGATAAATACTTTCATTGATCAAACCTATATCGAAATCAAATTGATAAATGAAATAATTTAAATAAAGATAATTTACCTGAAGGACAAAAAAGTTGTGATCCATCGATTTGTTTGATTGAACTATTTAATTGAGGTACTTGATCAAATTTAAAAATAAATAAATAAGCAAGACTGGAATTCAAAGGTTGAATTTCTAAATGAACTGAAATCGGTAGTGTACTTGTAATATTGATATACTGGAAATTAAATAATTGATTATGAGGAGTCGAATTCATTGATGTCACATTTTGTAAAATCATTGATGGAATTATTAAATTTGAATCACGAGGAATAATGATTTCAATAGGACGATTAAGATCTGTTTGAACAGATATTTCATTTTGATTTTGACCAAGAATTGAAAAGGATACACAAGTTGAAAGATTTGTATTTGATTGGATTGTTGTATTACCGAAAGGCGCTAATGGTGTGACCATTGTCTAGAAAAAGAAATCAAATCAAAGGAATGATTTCAAATAGAAAATAATCAACTCACTCGAATAGAAATCTTTGAATTATTACTGAGATCTAAATTAAGATTCTCCGGCAATTGAATCTGAGCATTTACCATTTGCTGGAAAAGTTTATTTGAAAGAGATTCAATTGATTTGCTTTCTAATGACATAAATACTTGAGATGTATCAATAATAGACTGTTGTCCAATATTTAAATGAATATTTAATGATGAAGATAATAATGCGATGATTTCATTCATTTGATTGATTATTTGATTTGCTAATTGTTTTTGATAATAAATATTTCGATTTCTTTCTATTGTTTCCCATGAAAAATCATTTCCATCAGCAAATAAATCTAAAAATCATACAATAAACTCATTATTTAATTCATCAAGAAAAGTACTTGGATTGGACCATGCAGATTCGAGATCAGTATCATAGTCTGTGGGTAATGTTGTGGCACGTGAATAATCTAAATCTAAAATCGTTGTTCGTTGTTGTAATGGTCCATTCACAGCCTAAAAATATCAATGTCATTTCAAAATGTACAAGAAACTTATGTGAATGAAGATGTAACCCTTATACCCATCACAGACCCATCCACATCCTCCATCGTTAATAGAAAGAACACTTTTTTGTAGACTTTTAAATAATTGGTTTTAATTATTATGAAAATATTCTTACAGTTAAAACATTGGCAGCACATTGAATCAGTTGAGTTGCTGATGGCTGAACATCTTCATATGGAATTCCTGTACTCATTGGATATAAAGCCATGGCTAATTGATAACATCTCTCCGATGCGATCATCTAAAATAGAATTTTTGTTTTTTCAAAAAGCAAAATCAAACAACTGAAATCGAACTAAAGCTGTTCTTGTTAATTCATTTGTTGTTTCAGTTATTTGTGCTAATGCTGTTGCCTGTAATTTAACACTATTGGATGTTGTTATTGCCAGTTTTGTTATAAATGTCATCAGATATTCTCGACTATTTGCATGAGAATTTAGTTGTTTATTATATTCAATTAAAACTGATTCATTCAATGGTATTGAAGACTAATTTAAAGAAGAAAAAAGTGAAAATAAAAGTCAAATCAAACGAAATTACCACGGGAGAAGTTTGATTTCCTAATGTTGAAACAGAAATACTTGTAGCTCGAATACCATCTATCAAGAAAAGAACAAAAAAAATCAATTTTAACTTTATTATCTCATAATTTACTTAAGATAGCTGTATCAATATTTTCACTGTTCATTTTATTCAATTGTTGTGAGAGGGAAATAATTAGTTGTCCAACTATATTTTGATTTTGACTAGCAAGTAATTGAGCTATTGGATTTCTTATTAATTCGCTTGATATATTTTTTATATTATTTATAAAATCAGTAAGTCCGATTAAATCTGGCATGACAGTAACAGACGATAGATTGAATTCTATAATGCAATCCAATTGATTTCGAATATGAACAAGTAAATGAAGTAATGATGTTTGATCATCTCCAGGTGGTAATCGAACTTGAAATGATGATATTGTAGAATAAGCAACGATCATTTTCTCAGCTAGATTATTTCTCCAAACTATGAAAAAAACATAAAATTATTTTGAAACTAAATTAAATTGAAACAAACCATAAACAGAATAATCTTTGATATCATTATCATCAAACCAATTTGAACATAAAATATCAAATAAACTATTTGTTGTACCGTTTAGAGGATTAATTGAACAAGAACCATTAGATGGAGATTTCGTTAGAACAATATTTAATGAGCTAGAACTAATTTCTTGTAAAAATGAATAAACAACTTCAAATCGCCAAAGATTTATTTGTGGATTTGACAAAAATAATTGATTTGTTGCAGTAAAATTACTTGTGTTTGTACCAAAAAGCCAAATATTTTCATAAATTATTTGATTAAACAAAGTCCATGTAGTTAAATTTGAAGATGAATTCATTTGTCCATGATAAATATTCCATGTAATATTCTGAATTGTTGTACAATTTCCATCACAAATTGAAAATAGAGCAACTTGTGTTGTTGGATTAACAAGTTGATATTCTAAATTTGGTGAACATAATGTCGAAATAACACAACTAAAAAAGTAAAATATTCATTTGATTTCAAAACAAAAAGTATAAATTTACCCAATAAGAACCATATGTGGATAAGTATCTTCGATTGTAACAAGTACATAATTAGTTGCTTGAAGTGAAGTATTTTGTTGATGTTCCATATAAACCATAAATTGATATGTTCGATTGGATTGTAAGGAGGCAGAAACAATTGTTATCGAGGAATTTATTGAGTTAAATTTCCAAGGTGTTTGATTATCTTTACAAATATAAAATTTTATATAATGAGCAGTGCAAAAAGAATTAGTCTGTTTGTATTTATTATACACGTAATAAAACTTTCTGATTGCGTTTAACTCAAAAGAATGGAGAAGATTATATTCGTTAAATAAAACTTCGTATCCTCTATTACTCCATAAGAAAGAAAATTCTCTTAAGCCTGTTGTAAGAAAATAAGATGTCTCCACCACTGCTTTTGGATACTCCTAAGTAAATACCTGTTCGATTCATGAAACAGGATGGATTTAATGGATCAGTTGTTGTATCACCAATCGGTATTAATGAGCCTTGAAAATTTGGGAACATATATAAACCATATATTCGACAATAATATTTATATTTCCAATTCTATTCAAATAACAAAACATCAACAATAGTGTAATATGTTATACTATTTCACTTCTTACACTTGCATTGAATAAGTGTTCACTTGGATCAATAGAATAGTTCCCAGGATCAAGTAAAAGATCCTGTTTATATCCATTTGTAATCATTGATGTTCCCAATTGAACAAGATTTGCTATTATATTTGATGAAACTATTTGTACATAAACAAATGATGATGTTGAATAATGTGATGAACTATTCATTGTAACTGTTAATTCGAATTGATATGTTCCATATGGAAGTGTTTTTGATGGAATATATAATTCACTCAATTTTTTATTAATCATTGGATCTAACTGAATGGAATTTGAACATATTATTGTTGTACAATTATTGATTATCCATTGTGTCGTCATTGAAAGTTTTATATTACAAATAAATTCAATAATTGAAACAATAGAAAAATCTTGACTGCGACGAAATTGTATTGGCAATGAAAGTGTCGATGTACCGGGAATAAGTGTGACACGTGGATAATAACAATCTTTAACAAATCATTTCATTAATTTATGTTTAAAAATTAGTTACTCTGAAATTATTATCATCGATGTGATTTGTTCTATCCAAGTCAATCAATCCTATGACGGATCTTATTGGATCCTATAAGAACCCGGGGAGGGGAGAGATAGTCATATGAGATTCCGTCACGTATATGCTATCGAAATTAGCGATCTGAATAAAAAAACAAAAAGACAATAATTCTAGTGATATCTATTATCATGGGCACTTTATTTGTTTAAAAACAAGTTAATTCGTTTCTTCTTACTAAATAGCTTTTAGATTATTTTTTATTAGATTGAACTTAACGCATCGAAAATTGAGAGAAATGTGCAGAACTTAAAAGTAGATGCAACTTGAATGTCATTTCTGTTGAGTGATACCTTTTAAAAGGTTAGTTTTCAAAAACATATATTCAATGTCTCTTCATCTTTAAATACAACAAAGATAAAAAGAAAACAAAAACAAATAGCTCAAACAAATGAAACATCTTTTCATTGATAAGAATGTTGATTTATAAACCGACGATAGATTTACTTTCGATTAAGCACTCAACTACATCTTTATTTACGTGTTAGGTTTTTATATTAACTTAGAAGTGAGAAATTCTACCTACTACCTTTAGTTGAAGTTGTATTGTATAAATTCATCGTAGTATATACTGTTGGCTATGAAGAAATACATAAATTAGAAAAAGAGAGTGCTGTAATATATTTACTGAAGAAGTGTTAGTAGTTGCTGTTGATAAAGTTATTGTTGTTGATGATGATTTTGTGGATAATGTTGTTGTTGTTGTGGATGATGTTATAGACGATATTGTTGATGATGATGTTGTTGTTGATGATGTTGTAGTTATTGTTGTTGTTGTTGTTGTTGTTATTGTAGTAGTTGTTGTTGTAGAC